CACTTTAATGTTGCAACTGGTAAAAGTGGGGCTAATTTTACCTAACTTATATACTGCTGAATAATATTAATATATATTCATATTATACCTATAATAATTAGATACATAACATTTTTGGTACATTTATAAAATTGTGTATCTATCCATCCATCCATCCATCCACCATCCAGGTTTAACATGCAAGACACTGTAGAAGAGGACGCGCTCCCTCTGTAGATAATAAAAACCCAACAACTCTTATTTTCAGGTTAATATAAAAACATATCAAATAATATTATATTCCAGTTGCTGCCAATAGATCCTCCTAAATGTTCCACACTGGACCTTTAAGATCTCCATACAGGACAATAACATACTGTCCAGATACCCAATATTATGCATATAGGCATATAAAATCTTCCAGTAAACTATTGTAAACTAACAATCTGTAATTTTATTCACCCCTTGAGATTTGCAGATTTCTACAGAAACACAAGCGCTCTAATGAGAACAATCCACTCGCAGTCACATTCACGTAGCATGGGCGTTAACTATGAAGCCTGATGGAAGTTAAGTTTTAAACTAGTGCAGCAACCAGATATATAACATCTATTTATGTTAGAATAAGGTCAGAATTCCCCAGCATCATGTTTCAGCCTCTTATAAAGACTGATAAAACAAACTCAGTGGGAAAAGAGTGAGACGCAGGTTAGTTTAGAAGTAGGGCGAGACTTCTTCTTTTGTAGTACGCTTGCTGAAACCTCCTTTGGTTTCCCCCCAAAACAATGTTAAATTATTTAATTTATATTAATCATTAATAATATTGGGAAAGCAACTAATAAAAAAAGTTGCATTAAGTTGAATTTTATTGAAATAAAGGACATTTTACATGGAGATATTCAGACTTTCAATATGAGTCACATAATAAAACAACCTCTTAACCACAGTTTGGATCTGCTTCACCAAAAATGCATGCTTTATTCACTAATGATGGTCAATAGTAAAATAATCAAATATTAAATTAATGCTAAACATTTAAGGAATCGTAGTTTCATAGATTTCCAGCTGCTGTGTTACAGGGGAAAAACGCCGTCAACAAGATATTGTGTTGAGTCCGCACTCGTCCTCTGCTCAAGCACACAACCTTTCTTCCCACAGCTCGCTATCGTTTGATATTAAACATGAGGATACACAATTCAGAGGAGCTGCTGCTAAAATATTAACGGGCAGCAGACATCTGACACTGTCTCAGTGCGTTTCAAACATTCCTCAAAGACAGCAGGTACAAGGTGATACAAGTACTGCCTGTGAATACACCTGTAGGGCAGCAGGAAAAGAGTTCAGCACAACACCAGACAACTGAGTCATGAGCCTGATGAAGATCTTCAACCTTCACTCGAAGAAACGTATGTGTGTTTGTTTGGAAGAACGCGTTTGATTACAAATAAAACATTGAACTTGAGATTGTGGCTCCATTAACATAAAATTTATTGTATAATTTGTTTTCCTACTGTCGATATGTTGTAAGTTTGTGGACTAACATCTAAAACTGGTTACGGTAAATCAACGTCTATTTTAAACTCACACCTTTAAAAAGAGATAATTAATTTAATTATTCTGTTAGAATGTTAAAATATGTAAATGTGTAATTTAAACCTCAATCACAATCTAAAATTAAGTTCTTTTTTTAAATACACTGTGAAGGCAATATTTTTTTGCTACAAACCATTACAAAGTAACACAACATGAAACGGGTAGAGTTGGATTATATATAGCTCTATATATGATCTACCGGTCATATCTATATTTTAGTTCTCTGGTACTGTCTAATTATTTGAATCACTTAATAATCCTATTAACTTTTTCTAAATGTACTCCTTTTGTCTGATTGTTTTTTGTTGTTGTTTGTCTTTTTTAATGGGGTTACATTGTCATGTCATCATTGCCTTGTGCAATATGTGGATCATTTGTTTGTATTTGAAGAAAAAGAACAAGAAAAACAGAAAACGAAGAAAAAAACTTGTACTTTTATATTTTAATTGTTCAAGGTCATAGTTAAAGGTGGTGTTGTACTGGACTACATTATATTGAGAGAAGTTTCTAATATTTCATCCTCCTTATTTACAAAAATGAGAGGGTCAGAATATCAGAAACGTCCTCAAAGCCCATCAAACCTCAATGCTAAAATATATAAGTGAACCAACACCCTTAAGAAAAACCTACTGTGAATGCACAGATTACATCAGCAGGCCAGCGTTGGCATTTGGCACACAGCTTAAGCTTTGATTGATGGAAATTGAGCCGAGTCTTGAGAAGTAAAGCTGACTCTCGAGTCTTAAAATTGCTACGATACAGAGGATAAAGATTTTAATTTGGGTAACAACATGACCCCTCCTCTGGGGCGATACTCAGGCCACATTTTACAGGTTTTTTTTTTCCAGAAATGGAAGAAGTCCTTTACAAGGAAGGAGAATTTGTAGAATTAAAAAAAGACAACACCTCTGATTCTGCTGCATCGATCATGCCTTTAAATCGTGTTTTTAAACTATCAGGAGTCCAACAGTGTTAAAGGAGTAAATGCTACATTGTTAACTAATGTTACTGTACCTCGCTATCATGAGCCAAACATGTTTTCAAGTGTTACATTTAACTGTTGCTCTCATATTGTCTTTGATAATTAAAGTGATGCGTTAAAGGATGATTAATTTCTGTTTAAATACATATTATACTATACTGCATTAACTCACTGCACCTCTGTCATCGATACTTGATACAAACCCTTTCACTGGATCAAAGAGCAAACTGAACCAAAACCACAGTCTAGCTGCCTTTTGCTGATCTGGTCTCTTCATCTCACTAAGCAACTGGAGTTAAAGAAATTAATATTTATATTGCCCACAATGCCCCTGTCACTATGACAACAATACACATTAATATCTAGTACACTATGTCAACCAAATGTAACATGAGTTGATGCTGTGGCAACTTACTCAGGTTTAAGCACCAAGGTGAGTGTAAACTAGGGTTGAGCAAGTTTACTCGGCTGAAAGGAGAATCCAGCTCAGGTAGCGTACAGGTAGAGTCATGTTTAAGCCCCGCCCATTCTGAGTACGGCTACAAATAGAGGCAATGTAGTTGGTTGAACAGATACAGACGAGTAGTACTTGCTCATCCCTAGTGTAAACAGTACAGTACAAAAACAAAAAGTTGTTAAAAACTGAGTTTGTGAAATGACTTAAGGCAAAATTGATGCTTTGTTTGTGTTTGCTATAACTTAGAGCTCAGTTCATTTGTTCGGTTTTCTGACTGTGACAACACTTTGGTCTGCAGGAAGTCAGAAACAAGAGGAGCGACGACTTCAGGATTGTTCAGATGAACGTGATGATCGCCTGGTACTGTCACCACCGTGTGCTGAAAGAAAGCGACAGAGACAATTAGAGAGATTAACGCAGCTACAAGAAACTTTAATTTTCTGTTGATTCTGGCAGCTCCCTGTGGACAAAACCAGTGGCAGGTGCAGAGAATGATATAGTATTAGTCTGTTAAAAACTCTTGTAATATGTTTGTGTGTGAACACTTTAATCTGCAAAGACAGATTTTTGGGCCACTTGGGGGCAGCAGAAACTGATTGTGAACACAACACTGAGACATCCTCACCTAATAATTTGATATGGTTAACCTTTTAGCAATTAGTTGTTTTTTTACACATCCAGCAGTTACAGAGCAACATTATCACTTACTGAAACACCTTTATTTATTTATGCTTAGTTTGTGTTTGTACATTGAGAGGAACGTAAAACCGGAGTCAAATTCCTTGTATGTGCGCACATACCTGGCCAATAAAAGTGATTCTGATTCGGGCGTTGCAAATGTAAGTCCAATATTCACTCTCTTTTAGCTCTTTTTTTGGTCTTCACCAACTCATGAGAGTGATATCGGGCTCTTTAGCAGGAATGGTAAGCGAGGATGAGATCATCGTATTGATGCTGGGATGTTTTTCTGACAGTTGCGCATTGCAAACAATCCAGCTGAGAACTGGTTCCAAATTAAACAGCGACTAAACAGTGGAGCTTTTTCACACTATTCTTGTTTCTACAGTGTGTTCAGACTCAGATAATAAAACTGTTCACGGTAACTGTGTCTGTTTAGCTTTTTGGTGCTGACCAGGTAGTGTACAGAGTGTTTTTTAGAGAACAAACAGTTGCCTGCTGTGGCCTAAAAACGATGCTATGAGAGCTGAACAGCAGCTAACCAACGAGCTCAACTCACTATAAAGCTCTGTAAAACCTGCAGGTTCTGGTGATAACTCTCGTTATCGTAGGTTGATCACTACGAGCGGCCCCGTTCACATCTAACACATTATAATTACATAAATATTGATTACAGCTGCTTTAAGCTTCTCCTTTGTTGCGCAGTGAAAGTCTGAATTTCACCAGCTGACTTGTAAAGAGACTTGGAGACGTCAAGTTTGTTTCTCTCTCATCAGAAGCACTTGACCAAGTTCCAGTATGTAGGTCAGTGTTGAGGTTCACAGCTATAAAAAAAATTCTGCTGCCTATGAGACACCGAGCCCGTACTACGCTGTTACTTTTGCATCTGTGTGGGTGTCTGTCTGTCTGTCTACTGGGCACAATTACACACACACAAAGGCTTAACGGCTAAAAATAAACACAAAGATGCAAGCGTGCCTACTTCACACAAACAGACACTCACATTTCTGTCCCTATAGGCCTGGAGAAGTGCTGATGTAAATTTCTTTTGATCTGGTTCAGCAAATATCTTCTCAAAGCCGTCTTCTGCTCTGGAAAGACAAAGAGAAAGATTGTATGTATATTTAGTAAGGTACAATCTACTGAGTTTAATACATGTTATAAAGAGATGTCAGGTGGAGGAACATCTTACAGCATAACTAGAACAGAGGCTTGTATCCTCGACTGCATCTCCAGACTCTGCTCCAAACTGATGCGCACTATGTTTTTCTGAAAACAAAAAAAACAGTACAGTATGGGCTGCGTACGACTCCTGTGGGAGAAATAAAAAGGCAAAGTGATGAGTTGGTGCAGTTCAGCAGTAACCTACCAGATTAATACGAAAGTCTCTGGAGAACATCACTCCTGCGAGAGAAAAATCCATTATATTTTCAGCAATAAGAGTAAAAAACATATTGAACTCATTTTATTCTATGAGGAAAAACATAAAAAAACAGAGAAGAGGAAGATAAAACTGTACCGTCTTCAACTTGAACTAGACCTCGCTCTAAAAGGATGTGCACAGACTGTTCAGACAGAGTTGGGTTTGCAGCCAACAGCCTGAAACGAATAAAAAGGCTTTTTTAGACAGCAGTTGTACAAACATTGTTGGATGAGTGGATGTTCAGTCGTTTGTGTAACACCTCTCGACTGCGTTTTTATAAGTGTAAACTCTTCTCTTTTCCTCTTTAGTCTTTTTTTCGAACTGAAGCATGTCATCAATCCCCTTTCTCATAACTCGAGGCACTTCTTTCTGCAAGAAAACAGACACAAATAATGAGGGAAGCAATTCAAAACCACTGACAAGAGTGGATCGAACAACACAGCCATTTGTGAAATATTATGGAGTAATGCAGTAATATAATGTGACTGCTAGGCACTGAGCCAAAGGACAAAACTGTGTCCGACTCAATTACATTGGTGACTAAAAGCATTTCTTGACTGTAATTAATGCCTTTCAAAATGTCAAACAACTTGTATACTATTTGTTTTTATTTACTCACAATCTAGAATTCCTCAGACATCTTCATGAAGCTGTAAACCAGCGGTCTCAAACTCAAATCTCCTGGGGGCACTAGATACGTCCCTAGGGGAGCTCCTATAACATGTTATTTTTATTTTTTTTCTCCCCAAGATTTTAATGCCAGGGTTTCAGCAGGGTTCATCAAGTTCAATTTAAGCCTTTTTAATAGTTTTCAAGGATTGGGAACTGTCCAGGAGAAGCTGTAAAACGTTGCTGAGCAGAGACACTTATGGACTACCTCACTTAGCTGGCTGCAGATCAGTGGCAGAAAATGGATGGATGGACCTGTTTAATGACCTTTTTATAACCACATAAAGCACAATTTAACTACCTGTTCTCAAATGGATCATTATATGACCTACCGTAATATATTATATATAGCCTAGTACAACTATATATATATATATATATCACCGTATATATAATATATACATCTAATTAATATTGTCTCCTGGATATGTGCATAAAACCACGGTATATGGATTTCAACCACTTAAAACTCACACAGAATTTACCTTAAGTTAATTTTAGATTTCCTACGCAGGAAAATATTTAAGATTTAAGACAAAATGAGGAGTTGTCCTCAAATAAAGTTTGTTTCACATGAAATTAATTCCCTGATTTTCAAGACTCCTTGAGGCCTGCAGATACGCTAACTGGATTTAATTCATGGAGACGCAGCTTTCTTTTCTGAGCATTCTATTACAACGGTCTCTGCTTTAGGTCAACTTTTATTTCAGTTAAGACATTTGTGTGGACTGGTAGATGTGCAGACAGTTCCCAAGTTAAATGTAATCAAGAAGCAACTGTCAAAGCAATTTTGAGCGTTTCTTGTAATGATTACCGGGTCTACAGTGAAAATAAATTCTCAGCATGAACAGAAGTAACCTTTAGTTACGGGTGTAAAAGCTGTGGAATACCAATCTTGTAGGTAAGATCCGTAGAATCCGCAGTACGACAGCTCCACCATCCTCAGGATACAGAGCCCTGAACTGTGAACAACCACAATATGGACCAAATATAATATAATATAATAAATATGTCTGTGTGTGAAAATATTAACAAGATGAAACAGGCTGTAATGACACTGTCACTCACCATTCCAGCTATGTTACCACCTGAAATAAATAAAAACATACAAACAGAAAGTGTCTGTAACATAAATATAACAAGAGATCACAAACATTTAAAATTGCTCTAACTCTGCTGTAAAGCTGCACTCACCCATGC